TCTGAAAACAATAGCCAGATCTTGGAGACATTCTAACAAAGAAAAAACGTAGTTCTGAAAACAATAGCCAGATCTTGGAGACATTCTAACAAGAAATACATGTTCTGAAAACAATAGCCAGATCTTGGAGACATTCTAACAAAGAAATTTGTGTTCTGAAAACAATAGCCAGATCTTGGAGACATTCTAACAAAGAAAAACGTGTTTTGAAAACAATGGCCAGATTATGGAGACAGTCTAACAAAAATAAACTGTCCTGTCAACAGAACGTTAGCCAACCTGCTAATTACATTCCTGATCTTCAGCAGTGTGAATCATGTATTACAGAAAGTTGCTTCAACGTTCATTTTTTTGTAAAATAATTTTTATGTGCCAAGTGTCAGCATAAAGGAACGTAGTACAAATTAGGATTTTAACATAAACAGCTGCTTCCCCAAAAATTATCTATTTCAATTATCAACATATAAAATTCGGTAAAAAAATCCGGTAAAAATTAGGATTTTAACACAAGCGGCTGCTTCCCATATAATGATCTATTTCAGATGTCAACATACAAAATTTGGTTAAAACCCGGTACAAAAGATAACTTTATCATAAACAAATGGTTGACTTCATTACGTTCTTCGTCAAAACAGCTCAGCTGTAGTCCTAGTTTAAAAATACCGCCAATTGAGTTTATTGTGGACACTCCAAAAGGAAACTTTGTACACCTAGCGGAGAAGTCCGCTACTAATGTTCATGAGGGCGTATTTATCACAACTACCAATTCAAACTTAAAAGAAAAAACAGTTTTGCTTCTTTGTTAGTTTACAATTATTTGAGCTAGGTATCTAGCTGTCTGTTTAACCCATTATAACGGAAACAACTGTAAATGTATTGATTTCTTAATTAGATCGCAGTGTAAGTAAAACTAACGGCTTTTCATTTTTCTATTAATCTGTTCTTTTATTATGAAATTTTAAAAGAACGAAGTTTTTTTTTTGGTGGAACTTATCTAATACCATGTTATTTTTTCGTAGTAACAGACGTGGAGGTATAACTGTAAATATCTCCTATCAACAAGAGTTGAACCTCACCGACACTTAAGTACGACCTCCGGTGCTACGTACAAGTTGTAGCATTCTTCACAAACTCGGTTCAGGCGAGCAAACTTGGACGTATCGTATTCTCCTTTGCAGCCAATGTCCCTGAAAGGTTTCAGTTGGATCGTTCTCGTTTGAGCCATCCCCGAAGCGAATATTGTCAACAGCGTGACAACGACCAGAGCCAATACACTGTTCCTTCCGTGAATCATCTGTAAAAAAATATGTTGTATTACAAAAACAAAATGTTTTATATTATAACTATGAGAAAATAGAGCGCTATTCATATCAAATCAGTCGGTGTGAGTTTTATATACATGTAATGTTTCCGGATAATACAGCGTAATCTTAGAATATTTTTTTTACACACAACCTTCTGTTGGGAATTTCGTAGGTTAAATATAGAAATATTTACTTATTTATACAACAAAGCTGATAAAATTCAACACTGTGTGTTCAAGCAGGTAGAGTTATGATATTATAACAACACAGAAACAATATAGCTGATATACTTCAGTACTGTGTGTTTAGGCTAATAGATTTATCATATAATAACAACACAGAAACAATATAGTTGATAAACTTCAGTACTGTGTGTTTAGGCTAATAGATTTATGATACTATAACAACACAGAAACAATATAGCTGATATACTTCAGTACTGTGTGTTTAGGCTAATAGATTTATGATACTATAACAACACAGAAACAATATAGCTGATATACTTCAGTACTGTGTGTTTAGGCTAATAGATTTATGATACTATAACAACACAGAAACAATATAGCTGATATACTTCAGTACTGTGTGTTTAGGCTAATAGTTTTATGATATTATAACAACACAGAAACAGTATAGCTGATATACTTCAGTACTGTGTGTTTAGGCTAATAGATTTATGATATTATAACAACACAGAAACAATATAGCTGATATACGGTGACATTGAGTAAAAAGATTGTTAAGTTTACTACAATATCGGTGACGTTAAGAAAAATATTGTTAAGTTGACTACAATACCGGTGACGTTAAGAAAAAGATTGTTAAGTTTACCACATTAATGGTGACGTTAAAGTAAATAACGCCGTCTATTTCCTGTACCGTTTGTTTCAGCTCATTACTTCTCACTCTCCTGGTCAAGCTAAAATTGTTTGACACATTAAAAAACACATAAGTACTGTTATTTACAAAACACCTAAATAATTAAATCATCCAGAAAAACAGATGTTTAACAACTAATGATGAATGAATTATCATTAGCTCTCCGGTTTATCGTATATTCTATGTATTTTGAATTGAAAAGATTCAACTTGTTCTCAAAATTTAAGTATAAGTTTCTAAATAGTTTTTGTTGTTAAACAGATCTTACCTAAATAACTGTTGTTGTTAAACAGATCTTATCTAACTAACTGTTGTTCTTAAACAGATCCTATCTAAACAGCTTTGCTGTTAAACAGATCTTATCTAAATAAATGTTGTTGTCAAACAAATCTTATCTAACTAACTGTTGTTGTTAAACAGATCTTATCTAAATAACTGTTGTTGTTAAACAGATCTTATCTAATAACTGTTGCTGTTAAACGAAGCTTGTGGTTTCACTTTAGTCCTTAGTCAGAACCAAAAGATTCTATTATATATAATCCATATTTAAGACAAACATGATTTGAAAACGATTTCGAGACGAAACTTTCTGATTTAACCGTTTATTCTTATAAGACTTTTTAATAAAACATTTTACAGTATGAGAAAGATGAAACCTTACCTTGAAAAGTTAAGCTGGGAAATAAACCAAGACTTAGTGAATATAACGAGAAAAGCTGTCTCCAAGGTGTAGTTTCCTCGAAATCTTCTGATTTAAATACTCTCTCTTCCCACCATCCACGTGGAAATATGGCGATGCACATCACGCTGAGAAAATAGTGGTCCTTTTGGAAATAAAAGGGACAAAAGTAATTAGATGCTCTAAGTACAAGATATCGTACGAGTAAGCTCATTTGTACCGCATTGTTCAACCTGTCTTTTAGCAGAAGTTTCATAACTGAAGCCGTTTCAAACCGCCTAGTTTCCTCTTTAGCCCATGGCCCACCTACTGGACCTTATTTGTGCGCTTCAAAACGCGCCTAATTCTGTACGTTTAAATTTAGAATAATTACAGTGCATATAACTCTAAAAGGTATGAATGAAAAATACTATGTAGGATTGGAACCCCATGGATGGAGGAAACAGAAAAGTAGAATATTCGCCACGTGCTGAATCTCTTTGATTTCTGAAATTTCTCCAAAGGAACGTGGAGGAAAGTTTCGCACTGAAAATGAACTTTGAACATCGAAAACATTATCTATCCCAAAAATTTGAAATTTGGTTACTGTGGGTGGGCATCAGTATAAGGATTGCAGTGTCGCAAAATGGCGACGGTCATTTCTAAAGATGTTATACATCAAGGGTTAGTTGATTTATTTGTTCATTTTGAAATTTGGACAAAACTTACATCACGTGAACTTTAGCAACAAGATAACTTTTAACTCAACTAACTTATCGGTTGCGTTTCGAGGCTTCATAAGTTACTTAAGCCTAAATATTTTTACAAGAAATAACTGATGTACAGATAATTTACAAACTCTCTTTAGACCTTCGTTCATGTTCATGGTCGAAAACAAGCTCGTGTTATTACTCCATCTAGATCTTTATATAAAACTACAAACATTATTTAAAATGAATTTCGAGACGAAACTTTTTGATTTAACCGTTTATTATTGTGAGAATTTTAGTGGACCATTTTACAATCTGAGAAAGATTAAACCTTACAGTGGAGCGTTAAGCTGGGAAACGGTAGCAATCATAGTGACTTCAAAACGATAGTAGTCATAGTCACTTTAAAATGGTAGTAGTTATAGACTCTTTAAAACAGCAGTAGATATAGTCACTTTAAAACAATAGTAGTTATAGACACTTTAAAACGGTAGTAGTCATAGTGACTTTAAAACTGTAGTAATAATAATAGCGACTTTAAAACAGTAGCAGTAACAGTCACTTTAAAACTGTAGTAATCATTGTCAATTTAAATTGGTAATAATCATAGTGACTTTAAAAAGGTAAAAACCATAGAGACTTTAAAATGGTAGTAGTTATAGTGACTTTAAAATGGTAGTAGCCATAGTGACTTTAAAATGATAATAATCATAGTGACTTTAAAATGGTAGTAGTCACTTTAAAACAATAGTAGCTAAAGTCACTTTAAAACAGGAGTAGATATAGTAACTTTAAAACAGGAGTAGATATAGTAACTTTAAAACAGGACTAGATATAGTAATTTTAAAACGGTATTAATCATAGCCACTTTAAAAAATTAATAGTCATAGTCACTATAAATGAGTAATAATCACACTAACTTTATAACGGTAGTAGTCATAGTGACTTTAAAATGATAATAATCATAGTCACTTTAAAAAAGTAGTAGCCATAGTCACTTTAAAACAGGAGTAGATATATAGCAAATTTAAAACGGTAGTAATAATAGTAATTTTAAAACAATGTTAGTTATAGTCAATATAAAACAGTAGTAACCATAGTCACTTTAAAAAGTTAATAGTCATAGTCACTTAAAAACGGTAGCAATAATAGCGACTTTAAAACATTAGCAGTCATAGTCACTTTAAAACTGTAGCAATCATTGTCGATTTAAATTGGTAATAATCAAAGTGACTTTAAAACGGTAGTAGCCATAGTGACTTTAAAATGGTAGTAGTTATAGTGACTTTAAAACGGTAATAGCCATAATGACTTGAAAATGATAATAATCATAGTGACTTTAAAATGCTAGTAGTTATAGTGACTTTAAAACAGTAGTAGCCATAGTGATTTTAAAATGGTAGTAATCATAGTCACTTTAAAACAGTAGTAGCTAAAGTCACTTTAAAACAGGAGTAGATATAGTAACTTTAAAACAGGACTAGATATGGTAATTTTAAAACGGTATTAATCATAGCCACTTTTAAAAGGTAGTAGCCATAGTCACTATAAATTAATAATAATCATAGTAACTTTATAACGGTAATAGTCATAGTGAATTTGAAATTATAATAATCATAGTCGCCTTAAATTGGTAATAATCATAGCGACTTTAAAAACGGTAGTAGTCATAGTGACTTTAAAACGGTAGTAGTTATAGTCACTTTAAAACAGTGGTAATCATGGTCGCTTTAAAACTATGGTAATCATGGACATTTTAATGTTAGTAATCATAGTGACTTTAAAACGGTAATAATAGTAGAAACTTTAAAACGGTACTAGTCATAATAACTTTTAACGGTACTAGTCATAGTAACTTTAAAACGGTAGTAATAATAGTCACTGTAAAGTGGTAGTAATAATAGTCACTTTAAAACAGCGGTAGTTATAGTCAATATAAAACAGTAGTAATCATAGTCACTTTAAAAAGTTAATAGTCATAGTCACCTAAAAACGGTAGCAATAATAGCGACTTTAAAACAGTAGCAGTCATAGTCACTTTAAAACTGTAGTAATCATTGTCCATTTAAAACGGTAATAGCCATTGTGACTTTAAAATGATAACAATCATAGTGACTTTAAAATGCTAGTAGTTATAGTGACTTTAAAACGGTAGTAGCCATAGTGACTTTAAAACGGTAGTAGCCATAGTGACTTTAAAATGGTAGTAATCATAGTCACTTTAAAACAGGAGTAGATATAGTAACTTTAAAACAGGAGTAGATATAGTAACTTTAAAAAAGGACTAGATATAGTAATTTTAAAACGGTATTAATCATAGCTACTTTAAAAAAGTAATAGTCATAGTCACTATGAATTAATAATAATCACTCTAACTTTATAACGGCAGTAGTCATAGTGACTTTAAAATGATAATAATCATAGTCACTTTAAAAAAGTAGTAGCCATAGTCACTTTAAAACAGGAGTAGATATAGCAACTTTAAAACGGTAGTAATAATAGTCACTTTAAAACAGTGGTAGTTATAGTCAATATAAAACAGTAGTAACCATAGTCACTTTAAAAACTAGTAGATATAGTCACTTTAAAATGGTAGTAATAATAGTCACTTTAAAACAGTGGTAGTTATAGTCAATATAAAACAGTAGTAACCATAGTCACTTTAAAAAATTAATAGTCATAGTCATTAAAAACTGTAGCAATAATAGCGACTTTAAAACAGTAGCAGTCATAGTCACTTTAAAACTGTAGTAATCATTGTCCATTTAAAACGGTAATAGCCATTGTGACTTTAAAATGATAACAATCATAGTGACTTTAAAATGCTAGTAGTTATAGTGACTTTAAAACGGTAGTAGCCATAGTGACTTTAAAATGGTAGTAATCATAGTCACTTTAAAACAGGACTAGATATAGTAATTTCAAAACGGTATTATGACAATACTTCACAAGGTGGGCTGACATGGCCAAGTTTTAAAATAGTTTTGAAGGACTGGAAGATCAACTAATATGTGAAGAGTTCATAATCACGTGCTCAACTGACATGTCACTGTTCCTAAAGGAGAGGGCACCAAAAGACTTGGGCGAGATGATCAAGCTGACAGAACAGTATATAGAAGCCCCTGGAGGTAGTATAACTGGCAAGTCCAAGAATAATCAGGATACTACCAAAAGTGACAAGAACTTAACAGACAAAAGGGAAAAGAGGGGCTATACATGTTATAAACTGAGGCACATTGTGATTGAGTGCAAATTTGTGACCAACAATCAATAGCAAAAATTTCAACTTAAAGTAGGTGGAACTACCTAAAAAGATGGTGTGCTGGTAAGAAACAAGAAAAGAGTGATTATCACCATGGATGCCGCTGCCAGAAGAAACCCGTTAGATTCACAACAAGAAGGAAGTACTGTTTCCGTGATTAAACAGTGCATAACTGATGGTCAGCTTAAGTTAGCAAATGGGTCAACAGTGTCAATGGTGATTGGAGCATGTAAAAAGCATCGAGAGGTGCTAACAAATCACAACATGCCACTAGGTGAAGGCTATGTCAGGGACAAGGAAGTAAAAGTCCTACGAAACACTGGTTGCAGCATTGCAGCAGTGAGAACCAGTCTAGTATCTGATGGACAGGTGACAGGTAAGGTATATCTGTGTGTGTTGACTGATGAGACAGTGAGAAAGTTTACTATAGGCAGAATAAAGTGGACACTACATACTACATGGGAGATCTTGAGACCATGTGTATGAGGGCACCAATATATGACATGGTGATTAAAATATACCAGACAGTAAAAGTTTGGAGGAACCAGACAAAAAGAAGACTGATGAAGCACCTGCAGTCACCACTAGAGCTCAAGAAAAGAATAGCAAGAATGACATCAAGCCCATGCAAGTCTCGAAAGGTGAAATCCAGAATGTAGGTATACAGGAACTGAAGGAAGCACAGAAGAAAGACCTTTCACTGCAGAAACTTTGGGACAGTGCCCGGGAGAAAGTCGACCACAAGACAAAGGGAAGGGACTTGCAGAATAGAGGACTGTGAAGGAGTTTTGTACCGGATCTATCAAGGCATTTATACTGGGAAAGTTGAAGAGATCATAGTACCAACAGAATACTGGACTCAAGTGATGAAGATGACTCAGGAGTCGATTGTGGGAGGACACCTAGGAACAAAGAAAATGGCAGACAGGATCACTAGCAACTTCCATTGACTGGGATCATTGAAGATGTGACCAGATTATGAGGTCATGTGGCATCTATTAAAGGACAATACCTAGAGGGAAGGTAGGCAAGGTGCCACTGGGTGAAATGGCTCTCATAGAAGAGCCATTCAGCAGAATAGCTGTGGATTTGATCAGACCTGTTTCTGACAAGGGCAACCAGTATGTGCTAGCAATA